CAATAAGTTCCCCCTCCCCCTTTCATATTTGCTTAGGGTAGTTCCAATTGGGCTTCTGTGATATTCTGTTATGGCATTGATTGACGGATACAGTATCATGTGACTGGCCAATAAAGATTTGGAACCCACAGTGCCTTCTTAAATCTTCCTGATACTCTTATGCATCTGCAGGGAGAGTGATCTAATACCCAATTTGTAAAAGCTGAACATTGCAACAAATAATACATTTTACCCTAAAGATTAGCATAACATTTGAGCTAGTAGAATTAGCCTCAGGAGAAATGAAACCATAGAAGAGTACAAAAGTTCAGTTTACTATTATTTAAAAGAAGGCATAGATAGCCAAGAATTTGATCCTCAACTGAGAACCACAACTGCATGGCAAAAGCAGATCTTTATTCTCCACTCATCCAACTTTTCTTCCAATTCATTGTTCTTTCTCCACAAAATTCGTGGAATTTGGTAGGAATTAGCCAATTAAGGTCCTGTCTTCAAAGTAAGACATCAGCCTGTACCAGCTAGATTGTAGTTTTAAAACATCCACACCTTGAGAGAGTTATTTTCTATTTTCTCTAATTAATAGAGAAGGACAGATGGAATATGACATAAAGAGCTGATGCCTTCTAGAAGCCTGGACTATAAGACCAGCCAATGAAGAGTCTCTGGATCTGAAACAATAGCCAGAATCAGAATCTTGCCTATGGAGAGAATTTGGAAGGCAAGCATTTGCTTCGGGGATTTTTGACCAACAGACTTACTCTTGCTTAATTCTCGTCAACGTCTTCATTGGTGCATTTCCGAATCTTTTAAGATTCTTCTTGTATGTTGCGTATTATGGCAGGCACTAGTGATACAAACATCTCATGTTTCATTCATTCTCTGGTACTCACAGTTCCTCTAAGTGTGTCCCATTCCAGATTCTAATACCTTTTTTTAAAAAAGATTTTATTTATTTATTTATTTATGAGAGACACAGAGTGAGAGGGGCAGAGACACAGGCAGAGGGAGAAGCAGGCTCCCTGCAGGGAGCCTGATGTAGGACTCGATCCCTGGTCTCCAGGATCACGCCCTGGGCTGAAGGCCATGCTAAACCGCTAAGCCACCCAGGCTGCCCTAGATTCTAATTCCTAACCTTGAAACTTCTCAAGCTTCAAAACTCTTCTTAGAGTTTGTACTCCCCAACCACTATCCCAAACTCCCAATATAGGTAAGGTTTCCTCTTCCAGTTCCCTCTGCATTCTGTTTACCTACAGTATAATCCTTCACACTGCATCCTAATTCCTATGTCCTGTACTAGTTTGTCTCTCTCACTTCTTGAAGACACAGAATTAGCCTTTTCACATAAATTCCTAGAACTTACCACTGTATATTCTTGACTTAATAAATGCTTATTGAGTGAATAAACAAATACATGAATGCATGAAAGAGTGAATGAATAACAATGTGGCCTCTACTCTGAAGAAACTCACTCTAGCTGGGGAAGAAATAACAATTTGGCTAATTGGCAATTAACCAATATATAATAGAGATGAAATCCAAATATTGATTGAGCATAACATGAACAGAGATTAATTGTTCCTTTCATTTTATGCCTTTTTTCTTGATGTCTGCTCTATTCTTTGTGCTTAAAGGAATGTTTAAAACTCACTATTGAATGATCTATGAACAAAACCCTGATTTCTTTTGAAGAAAGGGTTACATACAAATCTATTAAGGAAATAAAATAAGAACATTAAATAAAGAAAATACTGCTGGCTGCCTACAGAAATACAGTGAGAATATCCCAACAAGGAGAATTTCCATATAGGCCTAACAAAGGGAATAGTAAGATCTTTGGGTTATTACCAAGTTTTTTTAGTGATTAGAGGACAATTGATGTTATATACTGTGAATGAAAATTCCAGAGATAGCTATGAGGAAGAAATTTCACAAACATTAAGCGAGGCTAGTCCTGCTTTCAAGTGTTTAAACAAAATTTCCAGAGGCCATGTCAGTAGGAGGAATTTCTCAATATTCAATTTCTACCTTGTTTGGTTTTACATGTACACAGTTGGCAAATTTGTTACTAATAACTATAGACGGCACTAAAAGCAGATGGAGCATTCCTACCACTTCTTCTTTCTAGTTTTTGGTCCCAGCCTTTTTTTCAGTCCCTCATCATTTTTGACCAGAACCATAGCTACTTAAGTGTTCTGTCTCCATAATCTCCTTCTTATCACTGTATTTTTCAAACTGTTAGAAAAGAAAAAAAGGAGTGAGCTTTTATAAAACAGGATCCAATTGAAATATTCCAACATCTTTAAGATGCATTGTTTTTCAGTTGGGGTTCTAGGGGGTCTCTGAGAGGGGCACTGTACTATTTGGGTGAAGCATGAAAAGCTGTAGGAAAGCAATGGGGTGGTTTTGAGGATTTAGGATTACCTTAGTGGTAAATAATTTAAAACACTTTTTAAAAATGTTAAAACAAATACTGCCGTATTATGAAGGTAAATATAAAAGAGGAATTTTAAAAGAAAGCATGAGAATTTAACAGAATGCCAAGTGTCTGAGGGCAGCTGTTGCATTTTACTTAGACTCCCAAGGCACTTTTGTGCAAAGATAATGAAGAACCACCTAGAGGGGAAAGTTGCACCTCTCATAAGCTCCTGCCCAGCTTAGTCTCTCCCTGAGCCAGGAAAATATCTGTTTTCAGAAGACATATGGACTTTTGGGCCTCCACAACTTTCTTCTCACTGTTTTCTCTACCTGAGATTCTCACCCCTTCCCTTTCACCAACTTCCCCTTACTCCCTTCCACCCTCCCTTCTTTCTGTCCTTCCTCTCTTCTTTCAGTAAACATTTCATGAACTCCACTCTGCCAGGTGTTCTACTAGTTGGTCTGCAAATATGTAGGGATGTAGGCAGAGATGGTGAGGAGAGCAGAGAGAAGTCATACAAACACATTACTGAACGGAATAATGACTAACATTGCATGTTATATACCTACACTATGATGAACACTTTCCACACATCATTTTGCTTATTTTTAAAAACACTGAGAAATAAGTTTTGTCACTAAAGCTTGCCTTGATATCACACAATAAATGGCACCCATCTTCATGATACACAATAAATGACTTAGCCAAAGTTGAAATACAAGTGCATGCGACTCTAACTTACGCTCTTAAACATCACTTACTAGTCAATGTGATAAGTAACTTTCTAAATCTAGATGAAATGCGCCATCACATCTCTTTCTTCTCTGAAATTACTTTTTTTTAAGGATAATTAGTTTCCTCCTGTTCCTGTATTCATTATTAACATAATTTCTTTATGCTATTTGTAATGTTTCCTCTCTTACCAGGCTTAGAAAGTCACCAAGGCAGGTACCACCTCTGGTCCATATGTGTATCACCCTCTCCTGGCTCGGTAGACCTGCTAAACATAGCAGGATAGGGTAGGCCCTGCAGTAAACCAAGCGCATGAAGCTTTGCAGAGATCACACTGGGCTGCCCATAGACTTTAAGGTGTATTTTGTTTGGCTTAAAAAAGCATTTTGAATTAGTTTACCAACTTTTGGAAAGTAAAAGCTTATCTTAAATCCTGGATTTCCAGCTTCTTTTTTAAATGGAAAGATTTGAAAACATCGTCAAAGATTCTTGTGACCACAATTGGCTAGATCTGAATGGTAACCATCTGCTTTAGAGGAGCCCTGCACTCTACAATTCACTATATTCTCCATTACTGTTATGCTGTCCTGGCTACTGGCAATATCCTGACCTTAATATTTGCAATCAACCTTCTGTGCAATTTCTGAAATCTCTTAATTTCTTTGTTATGGGACTATTACAAATAATCATTATAAATTACAATATTAATATAATGTAACTATTATAACCTATTCTTAATTTCCAGTTTACTAAGCTAAAAAAAGTGAAATACTAAGGGTAGAAAGCCTCATTACTACATAAATATTAAAATATGTACTGAGAGATGTTCTCAGTATTGCATGGTAGGAAGTCTCATTACTACATATACATAAAAATATGTAGTAGAGTATGGCATGTATAATCTCTCATCTCAAACACAGACGGCTTGGGTTTATTTATAACCGACTTACAGTCTTTACACAGTTATTTCAGCTCACACACAATGGGTTATTTACAGACCAACTATAGTACTGCTGGTAGTGATTATAATTACAGAAAAAAAAACTTCAATTCAAAATCTTCAAGGCTTGGGATAGAGATTGGGGCCAAGTTTACCTTTATATTGTGACAGTTTTTGAAAAGATTTGCTAAGCAAATATACCAAGTAAAGTGTTTGTAAAAGAACTGTTTACTTGACACAAATTTTAGAGTCATGAATTCCCAACGATGTAAGTGCATTGTAAGCAAAAGCTAGATATTGCTTAGGTTGGTATTTTGATATAATAGGTACAAATTATTTTTATCTATTCTTTAAAGTAGGGTTCCTGCTAGACAGTACATTTTTATCCTAGTTCAAATTGCAATATTTATTCAAAAACAATATTGTTCCTGTGAAATGTATTATTTACTGACTTTTAATCATTTCAGCTCTTTTCCTTAAGTCGACTGACTTATATCTGAGTCTACTTAGTAGAGTAAGTGCAAAAAAGGAGGCCACAGTTTAGAGTAAATCCCAATTAGTCACTTAAAGTTTCAATAGTCACATCCATTATATTAAGAAACCATGCTTTAATAATGCAGACGTTGGCAGCAAAACAATAAATGTCCAAACATGATGAATAGCAGGTTCACTACCTTTGCAACAAAGAACAACAATACCAAGTTAGCCCATTTCTACTAAGTCTTGTTATAGATAAAATCATAGTCTATAGTTTTATTTATCTGTTGCATTAGAGAGTTACCCAACGTCTCAAGATAAATTGGAGTACAAATAAATAGCTTACCTCTTTTGATAGTCACGTATAGGAAAAATGATATGGTGCAGAGAAGAACCTCAGAAATAGTCAAAATTGAGAGTAAAATCATATCTTACCTGGGTGACTTTCTCTGTCACATTGTGTGTTCGATCTTTAACCTTGGGTGCAATAATGGTTTTATCTGAAGAAGGAGGGGATGCATTCTTTTTTTCAGTTTTGACATCTGAAAAATTCAACGTAAGCTGTGGAATCTTGTTAATGGTGCTGTATTTGTTGAGATTTGAATCTGATGTGGATCCCAGGAGGCTTGACTTGATATGATTAAAAGGCCCTAAAAAAATTGGAAAGTATTTGTAAAAGCAGTATCAGGAGTATCAGAAAGAGATGGTCCTGAATGACCAGCTAATGATCCACAGCCAGTGTGACCCTGCTTTGGGATGGACTAAATGCAGCCAGCTGATACCTGAACACAAGGTTTAGGGTCACTGTCTGCCACGTGGAGCAACATGTGAGTATCCGAGGATAAGATGGGGTCCAAGGTGTGTACCCGAGAGCAGATGGCATCTTTAGCTGTTACTTAACTTCTTTCATTAAAGGCTGGAATAAAAGAAAAAAAAAAAAACTCCACTCCTTATTATTGGCCTATTATTGGCCAAATTGGTTTCTCAAGAATGTCTTTTTTTTTTTTTTTTTTTATAATCCAGGGATTATTCGGGGAAGGACTTGCCTAAGGGTTAAAATCATGTTGGCCATGAAATTTCTGAACAGGCTGTCTACCTAGTTCCAATATGCATTACTGCCCTCTCTGGGCCATGACAACTGACAAGCAGCTGAGTTTTTTATCTGCTTCTATTACTAGTATGAGATGTTTTACAGAGCTTCTAGAAGAGGTAAGCCGGGATGGGGGAATTTCAGATAAGACTGAGAAAGGCCAATGTCTTTGTATGTATGTGTGTGTATTCTATCAAAAACTCTAGAGTCCTATGTGAAATTTTAAAAATCTTTCCTTCGCCCCACTTTCATTTAAATTTAAGACTTTCTTTTGAAGTGGGGGGGGGGCCTCTATAAAAACCTACCAGAAGAATGTCTTGAGAAACATAACTTAGAATTGAAGTGACATAGCCAGGTAATGGGCTGGGGTTGGTAGTACCTGGTTACTCTTTTTTTTTTTTTTTTTTTTTTTTTTTTATCATGCTATACGTTGGATCCTCAGAACTTATTCATTTTATATCTGGAAGTTAGTAGTACTGTTTGTCCAAACTTAGTCACTTCTCACATTTCATTTCCTTCCTATGAAGACAATTTATCAGGTTTCTAGGACTCCAGGCCCCCATGTTGAGTATGAATACACCGACCAGCTACATCTTGAGTTGAACTTATTGTGTGTTGTTTATGGAAGTCAGGAAATGCTCCAAAGAGTTTCTTATACAATGGGTATTGCAACTTTTATAGTTATATAGCTCTTAAAGCCTAGCATCAGGGATAATTTTATAGAAATCCTGAGCCCATGAGTGTTACCCAGCCATTATCTCGCTGCCTTGGAGAGTGCTTAAAACATACAAACTGTGTGACTAAACCTGCTAGTCAGCAAAGTTTGCCTTATGCTATTTTTTTTTCTGTCCAGAATGAAAAGAATATATCTTAGGGATAAAAAAAAACACTTTATGCACCAAACAAGGTCTAAACACCTGAAAATTAGATTTATAGGTTGTGTATTTTGAACCACAATAATAAATCAACTTGGTTCAAATATAATGCTAACAAAAAATATCCATCACTTAGTCCATAGTTAATTTGGAAAAAATTCTCACTATATTCGTTTATAAAAGTTAGGTTATTATATAAGTTTCAGATGATTTTAAGAGAATTTTCACTTATGTGGTAGATAGTGTTCCTTGAGGTGCATTTCTATTCATTCCCTGAGTTTTATCCATGATCATGATGAAGTCCATCTAAGTGACTAATGTCATTGAGCTCTTTGGGCATTTATTGTCCAGTATGCTCTCATTTGCATATAGATTCATACTCTCTTCTCTATTTATATGACAAGGAGAGAAATATGAGCCCAAAGTGGCACCATATTAATCTAGCACCCAGACAAGTCTGACAGAAACCCCATTCTCTAGGTCTCTGTACAAGTCTCCACCACACACCATTGATTTATTATTCTAACATATCCTAGGTAGTGTTTCCTTTTTTGTATCATTCTATGGCTACATTCCAGGCCTATATCTCAAAATTTATAAAACATTCTATGACTTTAGACTTCTTAGATAATGTCTTTTCTTTAATGTCATATTTTACTCATTAAGTGCTTTTATGGCACGCAGGGATACTGAGAGATTAGAGAAAGTTGAGCTCAGATATGTAGTTGTGTTTAAAAGCCTTACACCCTTCCTTTAATTCTCTTTCTCTATCATCCTTCTATGTGGTGGATTTCTGTAGCTGATTGCCTACAGAGTTGTTTAAAAAATCAAGCAAAAACATGGATGATTTATGATACTAAGGCAAACAGTGTTAAATACATTTTGATTGTCCCTGTGGCCAGTTCCAATAAACTCCACTGAATTGTCCACACCAATAAGCAAGAGGTCTCGAATATGACGGTACTTCATCCTACAGGCATTTGTGGGGACATTTTTGTTTGTCATAATGATGGGAGGTGGCTATTCTTTCATCTTGAAAAACTGTCCCAGAAGTCCCAGGGGACATTCCTGGAGGTGAAAGCCTGTTTATAATGATCTGAGTCTTGAACCCATTTCACATATGAATAGCACAATCTACTTTTTTTTTTCCACAATCTACTTTTAACAGGATTTTAATATGTATTGAGCTTTCCAGAGCTACAACTACCATGGAGGGGAAAGAGCTTTAGATCGTTTTGTTCAGAACTTTACCATAAGTTGTTCACCATTTTGCAAAATCGTATCACTTGGAACTCTGCTACTTGTGGCATTTGAATTATCAATATGAAATTTCAGACTTCAGGGATAAGGTTATAGTCTGTGTTTGCATGTTATGAGCAAATATGTAAGCAGAGAGATGTGTGTCCGTTTTTTTTTTTGGTCACTGCTAGAGCCAAATATTAAATTTGCAGAGAATTATAAGAATCACAGTGAAAATCATTAATAACATATCTTTCAAAAAAGATTTCATATTATTGTTCTCTATATATGTAAAATGATACATGATTCAATTAAAAGAAACTATGTAGTAAGAGCTAAACATTTGAAATTATTTGTCTTGAGATTGCTGGTTTCCAGTCTCACTTTGGTAACTCTCTAGAGATCTGCCACAACTTCACCTAAATGTCTCGATTGCCATTTCTTGTTCCAACCCGTTGTTTAGGAACGTGTATGGTCGGCAAGACCTTTCTTGAATATTGGAAGAAGACTATATGTTCTGACATTTGGGGGGATTTCTTTCTTCAGTGCAATTCATTAGTATCGCATAGGGAATCATGTTAACATTACACTGAGCTGGTAAGGGCCAGTTCATTTGTGAGAATATCATACCTCCTCATTTTCCCCCAGTTTATCTTGGTGTATTTTCATAATTCAATTTGGTTATTTCCTGTTTTTAAAATTCATATATAAATAATTATGATCTGTTATTATTTATTCCAATAGTGGTTTTTATTTTGTTATCTACCAATACTCCTGCTCCATCATCTTATCCAGTACTTATCTGGACAACTTAATGCCCTTAAAAGCCATTTTTAAATGTCCAATCATATTATATCTTCTAGTGTACTTATGTTTGAACATCAACACATTGAGAAAAATATCATTTTATTATCAACTGCTTTTCTTGTATTCCTCCTTTACATTATGGTTAAAGAACAGTGTTGATCTTTTAGAAATAGGTTAACTTATGTCTAAATATTGTTACAGGATAGTAAAATGAAAATAATAAAATATTGTAGAAACAAAGGGACATTGGATCTGATAGGGCTGAGAAACCACTGGTCAATACATGTCATACTCAGATTTGCCCTCAGAATATTATAACTTCATTGAGTCCATATTTTAGCTTCTCATATTTACTGGCGGACAACCTTTCTGAACTGTTACTTTATTCTCTTTCTCTTTTTTTAAGTTCTTAATGTTAAAGATTTAATCTAGGCTTTCTTTTAAATTTATCCATTTAAAGAATTCAGCAAAACCTAAAATGTTCCTTAAAATAATTCACACATGCTACTTAGATATTTACAATCTATTTCGTCCTGCATAACAAAGATCGTTATGCTTTTTCCACTGATTTTAAAGCAAATGTTTATATGCAGAAGTCTGAGTCTGCAAGATGATCAGCATTAGCTTAGGTTCCTCTAAAACCTATCCAAATTCTAGTGAAATTTTTTCCAACACTTTAATTATTCACAATATTCTTATTTTAATAATTTTAAACCTAAGCAAACAGACTATGAGGCCAAAGGGGAATAAGCATCAAGGGCTAGAAATCAGAATACAGGGTTTCCTACCTCCTAGGTCTATATTCAGAGAGGCCTTGGTTGAGGATTTAAAGGTGAAAAGCAGCCTCCCTGAGAGTGATCATGAACAGATGGGATTTAGGATTCTAATGAAAGAAAGGAGAATAACCTGAAAAACAAAGTAAATGAATTTAAATAAAATAAATGGGCAGAAATAAAGGGAAATAATAGATTCAATAGAAAGGAAGGTAAAACTCAAAAGTGCATAGGGGAACTTGATGTTCTTTAGAGAAACATTTGCGAAATGGATGACCAGGTTAAACGTTCCAGTATACTAGAAGGAGATGAAAAACAGGTGACCAAGTAGACTAAACCAACAGCTGGATAAAGCTCTAATATATTACAAGTGTCTGATTAAATATTAAATAGGCCAGGTTCCAGCTCCAAAGAAATATCCTGAATTTAGGTATCAAGCCAGAGGCTAAAGCAACAACTGGGAAGAATTCTACATTAAAGATATTTAAAATTTTTATGATGAGGTTATTTGAATTTATCATAAGTTACAAGAAGCTGAAAGAGAATATATTTTCCTTTAGATGGTGCTGATATATAATTAAGGACATCTGATAATTAAAAAAATAATAATGCTATTTTCTTTTTTTAAGATTGTTGCTCTCGAGGATCAAATGGGACACAAAAGAAGGAAAGCAAAAAAAAATTAAGATTGTTATTAAATCATCAGGTCTGTATACAATATTTCTTAGGTTACTGAGTTTATTGGGCTAAAGTTTAATAAAACTTTATGTAAATTGCTGAAGTGACTTAACACTAAAAATGCAAATGAAGTGTCTAGTAATTGGACTTTGCAAAAAAACACTGGCAACCAGTTTAACACTTAGAAAGATAGACAAGAAGTGATCATTTTATTTGTGGTCAATATTTATATTGTATCTTTCAGTGCATGACACACAATTTTCAGAAGATAACTATCACCATTGAAAATCAATTTGCAAATTCTTATAAGGTCACAAAAAGTTGGTAATGGCCAGTGTAGCTTAAGAGAAACAAGCTGTATCAGATGAGCTGATTTTCTTTGTAAGTCTGATAGGTTTTGTGGCTTAAGGAGGTGAAAGTTGTAATAAATCTTCCAAATAGATTTGTTTCTGATTCATATGTCCGATTCATAGACAAGATGGGAACTGAACATACCATTGTCAGTGGGATACGGAGTTACCTGAAATAATAAGGAAGTGGAAGCAATAGAGGGGCAAACTTATATTAGTGACCTATTTACTAAGTAGGGTAAGTGGGGTTAATTTATATGGATGATTTGAAAAGCAGAATAGCAGAGAAACCATTAAATTGGAGGTAAAAATCAGTTAATATGTGAGTGAGGCAGGATTAGGTTCACCTCTCATAATATCAAAGAAATTGTTTAAAAAATTTATGTACATACGTACATATAAACAGCATACACAATATATTTGAATAACTTTTTCAATTCTTGATAATGGGTTACAGTTAGATCTCTGAAGTCTTATTTCAAAAAGTCAGAGTGCCAAGGGAATTTATTAAGTGGAAACAAAATTAATCCTAGGAAAGAAGGTTAAATGGAAATGATTCCATTTTAGAAGAAAAGACCAAGTACCGATTTGCAGTTTTTATACTGTGATATTCCATCAAGATTAAAAGTGACCAGCTGGTATCTCTGTCAACTCAGGATAGATAAAGGGGGGAGAAAATTGCATTTCAGCAAGAAGGATTTAGTTTAGCTCTTCGTGTAACAGGCAGTAAAATAGATTTCCCAAGGAAGTTAGAGAATGGTATCTTCAGGAGGTAAAAATTTCTCTACCACTTGTGTCAGGGATTTAGCCAACACCCTCGCCTGAGGAGAATAAGCCTTGAAGTCCTGCTGGAATTACTTAGTTTATTTTGGTAAAAAATTATTTTGGGGTGATTTGGATACTGAAAACAACTATAATTATGATTTGTATACAATGAAGTATAGAAATTTGTCTTTTATTTTTTAAAGTTTTTATTTAAATGTGGTTTAGAAACAAAACAGGGAGCCTGGTGGGGGACTCGATTCCAGGACTCTGGGACCACGACGTGAGCCAAAGGCAGATGCTCAAATCCTGAGCCACCTAGGGCCCCTGTTCTGCGAAAACCTTAAAGAGCCAGACACTTAAGTATTTTTTGATAGTTTCAAAACCAGAGTCTGAACAAATAAGGAAAACTTTGGAGGATACATTTATGTTCATTTTAAAATTAAATTTGCACGTTTTAAAAAATCTAATTTGGGAGTTTAACTTCATAAGTATTAACATGTGAAAACTTTTGACAATGGTTTAGAGTTTCCTAATCCCAAATTCTGATTTTGATAATTTATTTTTGTTCAAAGACTATAGCTGTTAAAAAATGGAGGGTTGAGGGAAAAGAGTTGGAGATTAAATGGATTCATTTATGAGGGAAAAATAAAATTAATATAGTTTGAATGGCAATTGTGTGAACTACTAGTTTGGAAGATAGGCAAGCTCAGTTTTCTATATATTGAGAAAAATTAGATTCATTTCTCATTGCATTTAAATGATCACTGGAAAATCAAGGTCTAATAATAATTAATTGCTAATTGTTAAATGCTAAAGCCAGTCATATTTCATACAGATGAGTTGGCAAGAGGTATCTGTATTCTGTTTCTTGACATTATATCCCGAATTATATCGACGCAAATCACCATCACTGACACTAATTTGCTCCCTTTTACAAATTACAGTAGACAGGCCAAGGATAGAATAATCATGTAGATGAAGTACCATCCTGCTATTGGAGGTCACCTGTACAGACCCTTTTTGAAGTGCTTGCAAAATAAAATTGGTATGGGGAGAAGCTGCCACAATTTCCTTTCTTTTCAAATCACCCTGGATGGCTGACCAGAAAACAGCTTTAGTGTCTACTGTTATTAATTCATAACTGTGAGCAGCTCCGACTTAATTAGGGAAGCAATTGAGAAATCAATATACAAAACTTCATAGTGATCAGAGTAGCAGTGACATACAGAAGAGGCCAAAACAGTGAATTTTAAGTAATGACGGTTACTGGTGGAGACGTGTCCATGCAACACACATGCACAAAATGAGTCATTGTCACTATATGCACACTCACGGCAGCATGCATGGCCTATGTTAAAAGACTAAGTCCAAAAGTTTTCAACTAAATGAGAATAATATGATTACTATATTTTGTGAATTCCTGTATCTACTAAGATATAGTAGAAAAAACAGAGGTGAATTTCAAATTTTAGTCAAATCCAGATTTATCCAGAGGTATTGCCCACTTAAACATTGCCCTACAGTAGCTATAGGTCATGCCAGTGATTTCAGACTAATATAGGACACAATTAAAAATGGCTGAAATGTAATATAGAAAAATAGAAATGATTCTCATGCATGTACAATTTACTACTACAGTAAGCTTAAAACCATACCCCCTGCCATCCAGGAACGTGAAACTAGTTTTAAGGAAACAAAAGAGGAACAAGTGAAGTGATACTGTCATGTAGCACTTTGATTATTTAATCTTGCACTCGATTTTTTTGTTTTGTTTTGTTTTTTGGGTGTTGTTTTTTTTTTTTTTTTTTTTTTTTTGGCTGAAATAGGCTTATGTGCCTCTTTCACACTGGAATATATTTAGCTTGATATTTGTTTCTTTCCAAATGGTTTAAATATTCAGGAAGTGTTCATTGTCAACCTAGCCTTATACTTCTTGCAGGAAAAAAGGAGTTCATAAACTTTTTGGTGAACAGCTGAGAAAGTAACAATGTCTCCAACAAAATCAAGCCATGATGTCTCCACCAGGCACCTGGACTAGCTAAGGGCAGCATGATGTTGCATTGAACAGGGCATACAGCAGGCGAGTTAACATGCCAAGTAAAGGGGCACTTTGAGCATCAGATGATGAAATTTGAGTTCGTACATTACCTTTGACATTGCGACCATTGTCTGTTTTGAGCACATAAGGATAAAAAAAGAAAGAAATATAAAAAGAAGACTAAAATTATGTTATATACACTGAATTACCTCTGTAAAAACAATCAGGAGTAAACAGGATATAATGACTGAAAATGCATCTTTGAAATTAGCACTTTTCACTATTCAATCCAGTAAAATGCATAAACCAAAAATGATATCTGCCATCATAAGCATGCATGTTTAAATACGTGAAACATTTATCTCACTTAACTGGATTCCAAGATATAGATTTTAAAATTATGACGGTTTAGATAAAGGCATTCCCAGCTGCCTACAGTTGTGATAAAAATTTTCAATCTTGTCAGAAGCCAATGTTAGTGTCACTTCAACCATCATTTACAAAGAAAGACTGTGCAACTTTTGGTATTGTAAAGTAATTTTTTTTCATATGATTTAACCTAGTAAAGTAATAAGGAAAAATATTTCTAAGACAACAGCTTACCTTAATAATCCAACTTGAGTTATTAATCAGAATTCTCTTAACTGCCCCTCCTACAAATGTTCTTCAATGTATATTTTGAAAATACAACATAGCACTCAAAGAGTCATTCTTAGGCAAAAATGATTGTAAGAAGTCACTGAAAGATTTGACTGTTAAAAGTAATGTGAGAGTTTTAAGTTTATGTTCTCACAAGGCACTCAGTACCTAAAATATTTAAGAAATTCATTTATATTAACATGAGCTGTTTTCAAGTCTCAAATTGGAGTGTTTTCAGATTTATTTTGAGATTAGCAATCTGACTCTTTGATGCATATTTGCTACTAACAAAATATGCATTACTAGTTTTGAAACAAACAAGCCTAAAATAAATGGAGTCATGTCAAAACCATTCAAATATATCCAAGATTTGAAAAATCTGTTCAACATTTGTTGACATCTATGCTAGTGCAGTGCTTATTTAAAATCTTGGGATATATCTTCATTGTTTCAAAGCTTACGATCGAAGCAATTTCAATAGTTGGTATATTGAATTGCTAGTGTAGACATTGCCTTTGACAGAGATACACAAAGTTGTGACCTTACATGACAATTCTGCCCTCTTTGAGGGACCATATAAAGGCAAATAGGGATAAATGGAGAGATCTTGATTACATAGAATTAATTATCTCCATCAGAAGCAGGGCCCCAAAGTCATTAGTAAAATAACAACTGCTTGCACGTAGTTAAAAATTATAACATTACTTATCAAACCTCAAATTTATATATAAAGATTTGCAAACTCCCCAAATCCCTGACTGAAAGTTGCATTATATAGTTACTGCTGCTTTGACATCCTAAGAGCATGCAGTCTGTATTGGGCCAGTTGAGACCTTGTTATCTGTCCATGACAATGTAAGTGCAGAAATCAGAGTGAAGAGCCTTGTAGCAATTTGGCAAAGTAATTTTATGTCTGGTCAATCTAATAATAAAACAATAGGGGTTTATATCTTCTATGTTATTGTTTTATTTCATTTTTCTAAGAGTGCATTTTTTTTTAATACTTACAAATGTATTCGTTTGGGATGGATTAGAAAAAATTCTGGTCCTTCACCATGAATGGTTTGAGAAGTAGAGTTCTAAGGTACTTGATAATATAGAATAGATGGATAATGCAAAATATTATGCACTATTTTATCTGTAAATTACTTAAAGTTCTATAAAGATAGCCCATGTAGAAGGAAATTCCTCTTCTTGAATGAGGAGGCAATAATCTGAATTCAAAATCTCCTGCATGTGGAATTTCAGGTGCTCACCAGGCACACGAATTCATGAAACTAGAATCGATTTAAAAAATCTCATCCACATGTGGCATTGTGTGTCAACTACACTTGGTAAAAAAATAATAATACATTTTAAAAAAAAGCTTTCCATCTTTCTTTGTCAGCAGCTCAGTTTCTAAAATATATCAAATTATGCAGCCTTAGGAGGTACAGTTTCTTCTATGCCAATCAGTGATTTTGTAGCTAAAATTGCTCTAAAGCTGAACTACCAAATACTCTCTGAGTTTACTAATCAATAGCCAGATGACTGGAGCATCTGCCAGGAAGTGATACCATTTTGGAAAATAACATAGCTTGGGTACGGGAAGAAAATCAAGGATGACCTCACTACTGACAGTCCTGAATTGAGAAGTCCAGAAATGTTAGATTATCCTTTCCCATAATCGTTCCAGCAACTATGTATTAAATAGAGACAACAGAGAATTGAAAATTCAGTGAAATCATGAGATCTGATCTGACCTACTCAGCACCACTGTCAAACGACAGGTGAAGTCTGTACTATGCTCTGATCGTATATCATTTATTATATAAGAATGTTATTATACTGTAACTCGGGCAATAAGGCCAATTTCAGAAGTCAGTATGATTCCTAAAGATGCTTGCGCTAACTGGACAAACTAAAACGTATGTCAGTCCTTTGAATCACCCTGTTGGATTTATCTGAATCACCCGTTGGGATTCATTGCTCAAAGATCAAATTTCAGAGGTTCCATTCAGTCAGGAGATGTTGATTCCTATATACCATTGCTATATGGTATGGGGGCCTTAGATGATTATTCAGTCTGGGAATTGTCCTTGATTTTCTTTTCTTTTTGCTCTTCTTTAGACTATAGATTAAAATGGATGTACTAATCGCTTTTGTACCATATACAGTTTCTCAAACTTATCTATGGAAAACTCTTCCTTCTATTTTTGTGATATTGATTTATCTCTTTTTGAATTCTTCCTGCCACTTCATTTTCCTTCATCATTTCTGCCTTCTCATCTTCACTGTGCCTTTTAAATAAAGCTCCCCCACATAATTCAAGTATTATGGAATATAACCATTTCCTGTTGTGTATGATTTTGAAACATACTTCATGAGCATCATCCTTTCAATTTCACACCAACATTTATTGAGTTCCTGCCATGAAAAAGGCAATTGCGATACGGAGGCTGCAGAGCTAACTATGCCCAGATTACTGCACTGGGAGAGCTCACAGAAGCATAATTATTGCTTTGCATATCCAACAGAAATGACAGGCTTATACTGTGGAATAAAGGTAGAATGCAATAAATGCTATAATATGTGCAAATACTGCTTTGTACACATCAGGTGTGAAATCGTTTAATTCTTTTGGTTTGGGAAGGGGAAATGGGTCCTTACACTTATGAGAGGCAGAATGAGGAGGGACAAAGTGGGTAAGAGTTATTCCTATCAGAACAAACTAATGAAGCAAGAAAATGTGTGATACATTTTTGGGAAAAAGCAATTATCTCTGTGTAAGTTTAAAATAGAATCTATAGTAGGGGAAGGAATCTTGAAAGAGCTAGAAAACCTTGAAAAATAAGTGTGGCCAGCTGGCCTACTAGCCTACACTATGAGCCCAGTGATCAGATTTCTGTTTTGAGAAGAAAACTCACAGCTGTAGCCATGATGATGGGCACACACAGAAAGGGATATCACAAGAAAGGACAGTGGGCCTCTCCAGAACCCAAACTCCTGGAATTCAGAAAAGTGGGATGGATACATCCATCCATCAGGTACTCTGCATCTTCAACCCTGGGGGAAAGTTCAGTGATCCACAGAATCCTTCTACGACAAGAAAGCACTTCATGGAGGATTGTGGACTCTGGAGATGGGTGGTCCTGGGTGTGAAAGCCGACTCTGGTCCTCTGTATTGGACCAATTATTTATTTTAGCAAATCTAAGCCTCACTTTCCTCATTTATCAAACGGGGCTTAATAATAATGCCTAACTCATAGAGTTGTTGGAAGAACTAAATGAGAGTTAATGTGTGTCAAGCATTTACATTGCCTCACACACAGTAAATAATCAGTAAATGTTGACAATCATCACGTTAATGGTGAATTTTTTTGGTCACTGTCTTTTGAGCATTGCTGTTTTCACTACTGGCTAAAGTAAGAGGGTGAACACCAAGAGGCCAGGGAAAAATAAGAGAATTCTGACTTGCTCTAGCTTTAGTTTTCAAGTTTGGTTTTTCAATACTCTCAGGGTTTGGGTTTGTTTTTTTTCCCCCTACACATTTCCCCTTCCTCCTTCCTAATTCCACCCCACCCAGTCATCATGTATACCTTTCTGATCACTCAGTACATTACATTTTATACACCTCTTCCTTTGGAAAGACTTGGTTAATAAAAGAAGCCTGTGAAGGCACACCACTCATTCTGCCCAGGGCTTGCCTACTGGCTAAATGCAGCAAAATTAATTATGCTTGAGATGATAGGGTCATCACCCGATATTTTATATAAAGCATTAATTAACACTCCATAAAGTAGGCAGATAATGGTTATCATACCATTTCAGAAACACAGAAAAGAAGCCAGAAGAAACCAAATTATTCACTATGGTTCAAAGAGGATACCAGTAACAACTCTGAATGTAGGGTTCTCATTTTAAATTGCCATTATTTACTCACATTTCTCCCCCCAAGGGATAGGGATTAATGTCAAAAATAAAAACAATATGGAAATTACTTTCATTATCCATTAATATATATTTCCATTTCTTAAAAAAACAAACATACCTTCACTGGCATGTCGGTCTCTAAATATGTTCTTGGGGTGAACACTGAATCCTTCTATATCATGAACTGAAGAAGCCCTCCGTATACTACAAATGCTTTCTTTTGATCTGGAGTGAGTCAGCTGGGTACTTGACTGCAGCATGTCGGGATAGAGTCGGTCCCATTGCCTTTTGGGAGAGGAATGGTCAAGAGGTCCAGATATATTCACCAAAGGGGAACATTTGCTGGGCTGTATCAAGGCTTTTGTATCATCTGCTTCTGAGGGGCTGCAGCTCTCTTTTGTAGGAGACTTGAAGTGCTTCATGGCTACTGAATCATCACTCTGTTTAGATGAGTCGATTACTACCACATCAGGGTCTTCTTGTGGCAAAGACTGCTTTCTGTAAGTGAGAACTCTCAGAGCAGGGAATTTGAACCCAAAAAGTTTCCCTATAAATAGAGACAGAAAAAACATTATTACAAGACAAATATACACACACACACACACACATATACATTGTGTAAACATATCCCTTTATGACAAATGAATAAGTATCATTGACTCAAATTTAAATAACATGTAAAAAGAGTTATTAACAATACTTAATTAAGTCATTTATAGTTGGAATGAGGGATATTATAGAAGACTTCTGAGACTAATATGAATCACCATACAAGCAGTAAGAAAATAGTAAAATAATAGTAAAATAATGTCTCTGATGGTTAAATATACTCCAGTGACATAAAAGCATTACTTGGATGACACAAGTCTCTTATTTTGATAAAGACATACTACACATTATTAGATATCCCATATTGTTAAAAACACCATAGAACTATTTTTAAGGAAATTTGAAGCGTAGAATACAGTTTGGAAAAGAAAAGGGATGGGGCACCATATGTAAAAGAGACAGAGGAAAAGTTATAATGCATATGTACATACATGGGGGAGAAGGTTATAGTACTGGAAATAAGAAGGAAGAGAATGAGGTGGGGATAAGTTGGCCTGTCATATCTAGAAGGTTTCTATTAGATAATACTGTGAGTCAGATGTAGATTGGAAAAGTGGGGTCAATTGTGTATGAAAACATCCCTCACTCCATTTGAAATTTTTGAAAGGCTTTTGGCTTCAGATAGAGGTGTAAATATAAGAATTTCTCTTTCCTGATATTTTTTTCTTCCAAAATCTGAGACTATGGCTTGAATGTTACACATATCTCAGTGGTTGATGCTTAGAAGGACAACTAAATCTAACATTAAAAGGTGGGTATTAAAATTACAATACTAGTTAATAAATGCATGAACTCAGTGGCAATAAAAATGCAAATAAAAACAAGAGCCTATCATTTTCCACTCCTCACTTTAGCAATAAATTTTTAAAAAATCAACCACATAACATGTAGTGATGGCAAAAATGCTGGTGAGCATTGTGGCACTTTGCTAGTGGGAGTGCAAATAGCCACAAATTTTTTGGAAAGTCATTGTACAATATCTATTAAAATGAAAATACATACTTTTTCCTTTTACTCAGCAATCTCTCATTTATAGGATAGTACAAAGGCACAAAATCAAGACACAGTCTGAATATCCATTAGAAGGGAGAATGGTTGAATAAATTATGCATTTTTATACTTTGGAATATTTTTAAAAAGTATATATATATGCTTTTAATATATACTTTATATATATACATAATGTTTTGATTAGAATTAGGGGTTTATTCAAATATAGAGTTAGGTGAAAAAGCAAGTTTCAGTTTATTATGTTTATGAGATTTCATTAAAAATAATAAAAGGCTAGGGATCCTTGGGTGGCTCAGCAGTTTGGCACCTGCCTTTGGCTCAGGGTGTGATCCTGGGGTCCCGGGGTTGGGTCCCATGTTGGACTCCTGCATGGAGCCTGCTTCTCCCTCTGCCTGTGTCTCTGCCTTTCTCTCTCTCTCTCTCTCTCTCTCTCTCTGTCTCTCATGAGTAAATGAATAAAATCTTAAAAAATAATAATAATAAAAGGCTGCATTTGTCCACAGAAATTGTATAGCAGTAGAGAAAGATGTGGAAGGACACACACCAAGCTCGTAACGTTGACTGGCTAAGTGGGTTTAGAAGTAGGGGAGGGTAATGTATTGCATTCTTCTTTATATATCTTTATTGTTTGTTACATCAAGCATATAATTCCTTATAAAATTCTAAAAGATATAATGAGAAACTTCTAAAAGAAATGAAGAGATGAAACATCCAAACCATATTGTGTGATTCAAAGCTTTTCTAAGTATTGTCTCCAAGAAACTGCAGAGTCTGTAAATCCTATTGTCAGTGCAATAGTCTACATCCACACTGCCCCATGGCTTGACAAGTACACATTGCCCTTCTGGTCAGTCAGTTGGAGTCTTTGGGCCATAATATTATCTACTTCCTTCTATTCTTTAAGTGTCACGGGCACCATTACCTTTAATACATTTACTGTGAACTTTTCCTCAGTGCCCTGAGGATGGTTTTAAAACATGGAAGAACATTCTCAAAACTCATAGACTTTTCTGCATTTTATTTAAATACACTCTTCCAGTAAATGGTCTTACCTACACACATACTTTCAATTCCGTATTTAATCTAATGACTAAAAAATCTACATCTCTAGCCCAGACCTCCTCTCTTAGTTCCAAACCTGCATATCTTTTGGCCTCATTGACATCGTCACTTAGAAGTCTTAGAGACGCCTCAAAATCCCATAGCAAATCCAATCCCATGATCTATCTCTCCAATTCTAGCCCTTTTCCTGATGAACATTTCTGTCCCCCAGTGGACTACAGGCCTCATGAGGGCAGGGCTCTTGACTATTTTGCTTACCAAATCCCACCTCTGATAGAATGCCTGAGCATGACAAATGAATTTCTATAAGCAGAGGCTAATCTGATAAGGTGCTTCGATTCTGACTGTGGAAAACCAGGATATTTAATTGTTCTGACCAACTTAATTAGATAATAGCCTTCTGGAATTGTATTGACCCATTTTTACCAAAAATGGTTGCTTGGGTAGAAGTCAGTAGTTCAAGGAAATGGTGAACTCTCTCCTTTGCCCTTTGTACCTGATGCAACTCTTACTGTTAAGTTTGCCTTTTTCAGAGGTTAGTAATTGGTACCATTCTGGTCTTAGAACAAAAGTGCTTCCAAACTCCTCGTTTTATACAAAATACCCATTACAGAAAATTTTAGAATTAAGCAGGCTAATTTATTATTGTAAGCTGTCATTTGTGGGCTACCAGTAGTTAACACTGTTAAATACAGTAACTCCTATTTAACGATACAGTATTGAATACTGTAGTTAACAGAATTTATCTTTCTGATAAAAGACATGACACAATCCACAAACTCCAAATATGTTCACCTTAAAGTTCTAGATTAATAAATTGTAAATGAGAGTAACCCATCTGCGCAAATAAGATTAAACAACAGTGTATCACAGTAACTGTTTTGCAAGCATTCTTACATAATTCTACCAACAACTCTTATATGCTCAAGTAAATTGCCAAGTTAAAAATCACTGAACTGCATCAAAGTCACTTGATTAGTTTTTAATGCACATGGAATTGACTTATAAAGCAGTTTGCAAATCAATTCTGCAAGCTAATTACAATGCACTGAAGGTCAATGCCTACTTTTATTCATTTTTCATCAGTTACATTACCCTCCTCCTTTAAAAACAATTCACTGCCTTTCTTAAATTAATGACCTCACAAGGCATTTAGTTTGCTCCTGTGGTTTGCTTGTAACCAAGGTGGTGCAGATGGTCTTTTCTGCATCACTAGCTTCATATGACCATGTTATATTGCATTACAGATTTAGTTGTCTAACTGCAGCTCATCCGGAAAGAATACACATTGAGAATTTTGCTCAATGCTACCACTTTCAGGCATGAAATATAAAACATAGATGAGTATAATCCTGTCATAGTTCTTAACACTGAAAAATGCCCCTATAAGTTAAGTCTCTAAATTGTACTATATTTGCTTTCTAATTTAAACTACTAAAACAGACACTATTTAGCCTTTTATCTACTAAAGTGTTTCATAAATCTGACATAAGAACAACAGAATAAGAGTTTTTACTAGTTTTTTTACACTCTCCCAAATAATTTTAAGTACAGATAACTGCTTACACGAACATGATTTTCATTTAAGACGTACCTAAGTTTCTAACGCACATGAATGAACTACTGCTACAGTGTCTTTCTCAGAATATATCCCTTGTAGGGAGCTGCCTAATAGAAGTTTGGAAGCTTCATCTTCGTGTATCCTGCGTCATATCTAACTGAGAGCTTTTTACTTCTCACTCAAGTAAGCACATAGATAATCCATTATCATTGTCTTAAAAGCCTGGAATTATGACTCCAATCTATATACACAAACACGTTGAATACATGGCCCAAGGCCAAACAGGAAATCAGGATAAAGTCAGAATAAAACAGCAGTTCCTTTTATTTAATTTCAGTTTTACCCAAGACTTCGTGTTTTCTTGGGCCATAAACATTCAAATTGAGGATTTAATGAGACCCATTACTCACTTCTAATTAAATGTAGATAAATGCATATACACAATTTTATTTTTGATCTTAGAGGATGAATAACAAAATCCCCCACTTCAACAAAAACCCTTCTACTACTAACCTTCTACTGCTAACCTCCCCTGGAGTTCCCCGGGATGTTAACTCTTAACATTCCTTCTAGTTCTGAGTTTCTTTGCTTATATATTTATGCTAATCGTAGTTTCCACAAAATCATAATGATCACAGCTACATTTCTACCGTAACTCCTGTGGTAATGGGACTTTATAATAAGGTTTTACTAAACTTTTCCGAATAGAAAAGACCTCATCAATCTGAACTTCTATTTCTCTCCTTCTCTTTTATCCTTTCCTCTGGGAGCTGGTTCTTTCTATTTGAATTTGGAAGAAAACAATTTTTTCTAATTTAATCTAGGAATATTATAAATAATATTTCTTGAAGAAAAACAAATATTTCCAAAAGGTCCTCCATATATTCCTAATCATTGAATTTCCTCATAATTACAAATTCCCAATCAATCCTTTCATTCAACTTTTCTTCATTTCTGCAAATCCTTAGAACTTTGATTATTTAATAATTTTACTATGAAACCCCGGTTAAATATAAATCAGAAACAATTTACTCTTGCCTGGTTTTGCTTAGTTGAATTATGGACTAAAGAGTAGAAAGAAACTTTAGTTCAAGAAGTCATGCAAACTAGACGATACCGCAGGGTAAGGGGGGAGACATGCACAAGGAGCGGGAAATGGGGGATGTTGTGTAACCATGAGCAGAGATATTTCCCCTCACAAAGGAGTAAAAGTAGTGAGAGGTGGGACCCAGTATTCTCAGGAGCTATGCCTGAAGAAAAGGAGGAAGACTGGATTGGGCTGAGGCAGTTAAACTCTTATGCAA